GGGACTCAGAGGAAGGCAGAAAAAAAAACTTTTGTCTCTAAGCAGCCATTAACAGAGCAGCTGCTGTGGTTATCTAGCACCTGCTCTGTTAGCCATGTCTGTTTGAATGCTTGGTTTTGTTGTGCAGATTTTTTATTATATTTATTTATTTATTACACAGGATTCAGGACACATAAGACTGTTAGAAAATGTTTATAAAGTGAGTTTTGCATAATATTGGACCTTTAAGGATTGGGAAATATTATGGCAGGGTGCAGTTCCAGTTGCTGTGATGATGAGATGCTTATATTTTCAATTATTAATGACTAACAAGTCTTTTTTTGTGTGTCCATCAGAGGGGAAGGCTAGTGACCAGTGTAGCAGTCAAGAAAATTAACCAATCCATCAACAGAATCAGAGTCAAGATGGTTACACTGGATTTCAAGACGTTGATTGCCCCGGAGGGCATATTGAGGATACTGGAGGTCATCTTCCTCTGTGTAATTTTGAGATTGGTTCTATCAGTGAGTCACCAGACCAACTCATTTTGGATATATTGCATGTTCACTTGGTGCTTCTGCGTCTGTGTTACCATCCTTATACTGGTCCTGGAATTTTTGAGTCTCAGCTCAAAGCTGCCTATCTCCTGGGATGACTTTACGACCGCCTTTGCCATGGTGGCAACCCTAATGGTGTGTACTGATTATAATGATTAGATCTAAATTAAATATATATATATATATATATATATATATATATATATATATTTATATATATCTTCTCTTTGTTTTTAGGTTAATACCATATGTTTCCATCCATATATTTTTTATCCTTATGTAATTAACTCAAGAGTGTGTTTAATTAGTTTGTATTGCCCAATAGACTAAACCTATTTCTGCCTCTAAGGATTCTCTGACTTTGGAATTATTATCTCTGCAGGTTCTCACAGCATCCATCTTCTACTCCATGTTCTACACTTGTCGTAATTGTGGCAGACAGATTGGTGCCAACGTTATCTCCTTCCTGACATTCATCCTGTACATTGCAGAGGTTGGACTGATTCGTTCCAAACCTGGTGAAACCAGCCGTTTTGTATCTACAGTGCCAGGGCTGCTCAAAGTGCTAGAGGCCTTTGTGGCCTGTGTCATCTTCTTCTGTTTACCCTCCCTCCAAATTTCCCACTTTGGTCTATTGCTCCAGTCATGCATTGCTGTCTACTCCACATGTTTCCTTTTTTCCATCCTCATAATTTTTTCGGCTATTGGCCGCATGAAGTCCCGCTCGCCTACATCTTTTAACAGAGTTCTGATAGTCTGCAATGTACTAGCAGTGCTGATGTACATCACAGCTGTTGTTATCTGGCCCTTCTACTGCTTTAGAACGTTTCCCAGACCAAAGGACTGTCATTTGTTCTGTTGGTGGAATCTTATAGTTGTTATCTGTGTCTTGTCCTCTTTAAACCTGATTGCCTACATTGTAGACACTGTGTTTTCTTTCAAGCTGGTCTTCTTCACCCCTCAAACATAAGTACCTTATTGCTTCAATATGAATGTGAACATTCTTTTTTTTTTTTTTTTTTTGCTTTTGCCAAAACTATTAAGATGTCAAGTATAACTTTCGTTTAACAACATAATCACAGAGCTTTCGATTCCATTTTACTTACCTTTCTGCTTCATTGTGATTATAATAAAATGTTTTCTTTTTTCTTTTAAGTATCTAGTTAATAAAAAAAACAAAAACATTTTGATGTATCTGTAAAACTTAGCTATGTTATCCAGGCTGTCAGAAACTAAAAAACTGCTTAAATAAACAAAGCCTTAACCATTAACTCATCTTTATAAGTAAGGTTCACAAAGGTGTGTCAAGGTTAATTGTGTATTCATAGGAGTGTTTGTCCCAGAAATGACTGTGGTTGCTTCTCTGATAAGCTCAAAGACTGTTTGCTGTACTGCTTATTTCCCAACATTGGTAAAAAATGCTGTTTTATAAAAGTGTTTTGTTAGTTGTACAATTCCGATTTTGCTCTGAGGGCTATATACACACTGTGTTTCCAAGCAAATCTATAAGGGGGATGAATCTGGCTGGTTTTTACTTCCTGTCTGACTAATGACTGACAAGTGCTGCGAACACTGGAAAAACGATGTAGAAATTAGTAAAGATTTCTTCAATTAAGTGTATTTACCCTTAATTTGAGCAGGTAAATTCGATAGTTTGCCAATGGAGTTAGTATTTTTACTCTTAAAATAAGATAAGTACATAATATGCACTTGAAATAAGGCAATGAAATTGTGTTTTCTTATTTCAAATGTAAATTGTCTTGTTCTATTGGCAAAATGTCTCTTTTATGTCCTCAATCCAAGAACAAATGCACTTATTTTAAGAAAAAATTACTTATCTAGATCTCAATTTTTTTCCAGTGAAGGTCTTACCACAGCTTCTTGGTCTGATCTCCTGCTGCCCCTGTCTGAGCTCTAGGCTACCTCCTCATATTAACCACTATTTGGCTTTTAATAACAAATAAATAACCATCAAATCCAGGTCCAATATGTTGAGGTCAAACCCGCAATGAGAGTGGATGATAAATTTTCACATTTCCCTGTTTAAATCTATGGAGTGTGTTAAAATGAACATGTAGGCTTTAGCTAAGTAATGTAAAATGGCCTGATCATTTGGCATGCAAAGTGCAAAGTGATTTTCATTTTTGATTGAGCAAAGAGCTTGTGCAAACCAGTATGTGTGCCTTCATCAATATGCAGATCACATTTTAGTAACCGAACTGTGCAAATTCATGGCTGGATAATATGCAAAAGTAAACATTTGACAGGTGCAAAGTGTTTATCCAAATCTAATTTTTTTTTTTTTTTTTTACCTGAAAATGCTTTAGATGATCAAAATTCTAGAATTGTGCACCTTAAGGGGCCTGAATGTTGGAGTAGCTCTTCTAGCTTTACTCTACTAATTTATTTAAAGAGAACTTGAATCCTTCCATTTTAACATCGACCTAATTTTGGGAATTTCTCACCCATTTTGGATACCTAATTGGAAAAACAAATATCTTAGGAACTGTAAGCCCAAATTGCATGTGCAATACATTATTTGAAAGCTAACACCCTCTAGTTTCTGAATATATATAAATTAAAATTGGGTGAATGGAACACAGACCAAGCTGCATCAGTTCAAACATGACTCAAAGTTATTTTTTCTATCCTCGGAAATTATAGGTCTCTTTTGAGCAGCAGTAATAAAGACATGCTTTGGAAAAGGTAGGTCACATTGTATTATAAGTTAATAAACTTAAACAGCTGAGCTGTAGAGGTGGTCAACAGCACCAAATTCCTGGGGGTGCACACCACAGACACCCTCACCTGGAATGTAAACACCACCTCACTGGTCAAAAGGCACAGAAGCGCTTGTACTTCTTGTGGAGGATGAGGAGAGCCCACCTGCCCCCACCCATCCTCACAACCTTCTACAGAAGAAAAAAATTGCTTGTTAGAACTGTAACTATACAGTCATATGTTTACATTCGGTTTTTCATCACAATGTTTTTATCACTGCTGCTTACCTTATGAAGGCTGCACTTTTAAAAATAAAAAGGTCTAGATAGCTGCTCTTAACAAAATGTCTTTTTTGTTGACACTTGTGTATTAAAAATTACAAAATAAAATCTGTCTAAGTCTGTTTATGTCTAAGTCTCTAAGTCTAAACATTTGAAACTTGTGTAAGAGTTCTGTTTTTGTTGTGTTCTGGTAACTTGAAGGGTTTAACAGTTTCCTCAAATTGATTGAGTTACAAAAAAAGTTGGGGAAACTAAAAAATATAAA